GACAACAATCGTGTTTGTTGCTTTTCTAAGAGAGGAGACGAGAGATACAGAGAATGTCAAATGATAAAATATATACAAGCGAGGACAAATGTTGAGGAAAGAGAGGATAACTTGGAAAGAGTTTAAGAATATATTTATCGATATTATATTATTTTCGTTCGATAATAGTGTAAACGAGCAATTGAACTTACGTCGGTACATGTAAATATAGCTTTATCACCCATATTCTCGACAACTTTAGCTCCGTTACAAGATATATCGGCTACCACTACTTTACCACCTTGTTGAAAAATTTTCTCCGCACATGCCTTTCCAATACCGTTCGCGCCTCCAGTAACGTAAGCGACAATATGCTGAATTGGTTAATAATTAATTTTTTTTTTTTTATCTATATTCAACGCGCCATGTATTTTCCGAAATATCAAAATATTGAAAACTTAAGGGATCGAAATTTATCTTTATGAAAAATACGAGAAAGAAGAAGATTGTTCGTATATTTTACCTGCAATTTCCCCATTTTGACATTTCCTTGTTAAACGATTGAAATTAGATGTTTCTCGTTGCTTACTTCTTTTTGCCCAGTTTAAAAAAATTTCCTAATTCAGACAAGAATCGTGAGTATTTCAAAAATGAGAGAAAGAAAAAAGAAAAAAATGATGAAAATTTTTGAAAATACGACCAAGAATCGTGTAATTTCCCGCTTCTTCTATCCCCTCGTTCCTAATTATTTATCGCACAGATGCAGATTATTTATGAAATATTTTTCAAAACGCACATCACGATAAACGGATGGATATTATATATTAATTATATATATAAAAAAATATAACCACAATCTGATAGAAAATTTTCGAATTCCAAAAAATTATTACCAAGTTATTTTCCGTTTCTCCTATTTCTTCATTGACTCTTCTCCTAATTAGTCTATCCGTTCCAAATAATTTCAATGAAATTTTATGAATTAAAACACATGACAGTCAAGTATGGACGATTGTCATATTCATGTTTTACATTCAATGTTCTTCACGTATGTTATTAAAAAGAAGGAAATCTAGTGACCGATGAAACGCTCGATTTACAACACTCGATACAAACTTCAGATCGACAAATCGTGGCAAAATTTCAACTAATTTATCTTGTACGAAAAGAAAACGTATGCACTCGATCTGTCTCGTTTATCACTCGCCATGGGATAAAAGATATTTTCAATCGATGTTGATCGAGAGGACAAATTTTTCTTCATCGCCGTTTCGGAAATTCGTTTCTGAACGAATCGATCCGTTACAGCGGCAACGTCAGACCGACGATACAACTTAATTCTCCACGATTAAACGCAACGGTTGCGATAAGGCTTGTAAATTGAGCGAATTATGCCGTTCGTACCGGTACACGACGGTAGCCCCAACCGATTAACACGCGCATTACGCGAGCTTGGAACGAGGTTCAACCTGACATTTGCATTGGAACGTGTCGAACGATCCTCTACAACACCTTGCGCCACGGACTTACTCGTAATTCTCGATTTTATTGATTGCAAATTAGCACGCAAATTCTTGAGGATATCCAAGATTAGGGAAATAACGTAAATCCATAGAAGCAATGGCACGATTCGAGATATTACCGTTTCATACGTGTATTCGATTTCGATTCAAGCTTCAAATTCTTCTAAAATTCTTATGCAACCACGATGCGATTAGAAATTACGTACGAGAGATCGAGAAACTTGAAACGCTCCACGGACACACATATACATACGTAGGTGCACGAAGGAAATGAAGAGCGAGGAGGGAATAAAGAAGGGATACCCAATCGGTCACGTTAACGGAACCTGCAAGGATCGGCGTTGATCACCGACAAACCGTCTCTCACTATGCCCGACCAATTTCAATCCTTCTCGCCGCTTCCAATTTCCTGGCCGTCATTACCGGTATTCGTAAAAGTCGGTCGAAGAAATACCCGTGTGGTTACCACGCGAACAAGAAACCCAATCGTTAGAAGCTTGCCCTCTCCTTCGATCTAATCGCCTTCGACTTTATTCACAATCTTTTCCGTTGCGTATCGAGCCAAGCCGAGCTCGTTCCTCCACACGGAAACCCGGAGAAACCTGGTGGGTTTGGGAGGGAAGGGGATGGAGAGGTCGCAGAGGTCGGACACCACGTAAATTGCATACCCGATTGCGGTCTGCTGAAGAGTGGCGCCCTCCACCGGCCAACCTCCTCTTCAGACCGTGGCGCCGACCCCAAACTGGATCTAACAAGCTAGCGACCACAGACCAGGTTCAGCTTGCAACGGGACTGCCACCTCTGGGGACTGCCCGCGGGCAAAGCCGGTGAACTGTCCCTCGTGTTCCCCCTGCCTGCTTCCTTTCTGCCCCTCCCCCACCGTGAAAACCTTCGAACCTATCCACCCGTTCTAACAAGCCCGTTTACGTTCACCCTGTAAACCTGGTGACGTTACACCGCCCTTTACACCGGCGAGACGTCTCAACGCTCTTCTGGCTTTTCGATACGGAAAGCGCGGGGACGGATTCGTTCGGAACGATGATTGTTGTTTCCATTCGAAGGAAGACGTAGATAGACGATTCTTGTATAG